CATAAGACCATTATGCCTCTGATTAATATCATGAAATCAATTTACGTATTTTCTGAGACCCATTATATATATAACGCCATCTGGTCATGGGTCAATGCAAATGAACGCGATGCATGAGAAGTACGTCAATAAAATCTTCCAGAGTTTCATAAGACCATTATGCCTCTGATTAATATCATGAAATCAATTTACGTATTTTTCTGAGACCCATGAACAAATGATAGAATAATATGACACATAAGGAATCAAGAACATAAGCATCTCTAGTATTTCTATGAATAGAGTTATTTATGGAAATTGTGCATTTGCTCGTTTCGTTTGTGTCGTATAGATCATGCCAAAAGAAAGAAGGGATAGCCTTAACATACCTAGGCCGATTCTCGTGAAAATCCCTCTAACACACGTTAATTGCGATGAAAACACGTGACGGCAAGATCGGAGTAGGGAGAATCCGTATGACATTCTTGAGAAAGATTGCACCATACTCCCTTATAATTGCAAAATCTCACGTTGCTTAAAATGCTACGAAATCTTGTTGAATTTCCATGAAATCATGTTGAATTTGTTGAAAGTGCTAAACTTCCCCATGTTACCATGTTAGAGAGGTCTTATGTTTGAATTGAATTATTGAAGACTAACATTACGATGAATGACTTCTTTAAGTGTTATGATGCCTTAAGATGTGGCCCACTTTAGGAATAATTTGGCCAAAAAAATTCTTAATGTGACACTTATCTTGAATGACTAATGAGTCATTTATAGGAATAGGAGGGGGTTGCCACGTTTTGGCTTAAACCTTATCCAAGATTTTGATTTAATTAATCTCTAATTCATTAATTAATTGTTAATCTCCCACTAAAATTAATAATTATCCGGTTATCCACATAATGAAGAATTATCTCAAATTACTTAAAATACTACTCACCTTTAACACACCTTATACACCTTACTATCATGGTCATGTGGTACCTTGTATGGAACTAGTTCATAAATACCGAGTATTTTAGCTCGGGCCGTATTTTATCACAACATGTCAAACTTGGATGAAAATTCATTTTCTTTGACTTGTTTCCCCTTACACATTCACGAATTTACTCATCACTTGCTTGAAATAGTATAATGCTTATAATCTCTAAATAATCTTGTCCTTGAACTGAGGTCAATTATCTTGCGACAATTTCACGTATAATACTACAGGGTACAACATCGTCGTATTATAATACTACGAAGCGTAACATCATCGTAATGTAATACTATAAGGCGTAACATCATCGTAATATAATATTGCAGGACGTAACATCATCGTAATATAATACTGCGGGACGTAATATCGACGTAATATTGCGGGGCGTAACAATTTGCTAGCCACCCTATAAGATATCAGGCGGATTGATATCAGTTTAGCTCTTATCGGGCGGTTATTAGACGGTTTATCGGCCTAATTCAATCTATATTGCGTGCATTAATTGTTTGCTGACCGCTTAGCATACAAATTCAGAATAAGAAATTACAGATGAGTCCAGACATACATATGTCTGTTAACGCCTACATTACATCCAATATGTTAAATCAACAATATTGAGCAGACTACACAGATTCCAGAGAACCCCTTTGTTACTCAGGAAGAAAAGTTCACTACCTTAAATCAACAATATGTTATATAACTTCAACGTCACTGCTCATAGGCGTTAATATATGAGTCCAGACATAGATATATGGATAGAGTACTGGAAGAGTGGAAGACTAAAGTGGAAGGATTTTTGATAGTTAATATATATATATATGGATAAAAATAATAGATATTTATATAAATTGAATAATCCGCCCCAAACCGATAAATCGTTAATGAAAAAATTTCAATCTGTTCCCCGTCTGTTAAATTATTAACCCGATACCAATAAGCCATTAAACTTCGATTTCGATTCGGTTTTCGGTTTCGTTCCGATTTTGAACACTCCTAATAAACTCCTACCGTGTTTCTTGTATATTTTCTCACATCTTTTACATTGCTAAAATTATTAAATCCTAAAAAGTATTGTTATATATGACTAAGCACATTTATTCTTCATTGTTAGTATGTGTGTTTTTTATACATTTATATATGAAGAAATGTTTCATTTAGACTCTTTCTAAAAGTATATAACTATATATTACTCTTAACTATTTGAGTGGTTAAGGGCTCGTTTGGTACGAAGGATAAGGAATAATTAATTCTGGGATTAAATTTGAGATAAGTTTATTCTACGTTTGATTGAGATAAAATTGTGGTATAATTAATCCCGAAATTGTAGTATTTTTTTATTTCTATGTGAGGGTAAGATAACTAATCCCGAGATAATTAATCATGAGATAACTTGTTTCACGAATAAATGACCCCTAAGGGCTCGTTTGGTATGAGGGATAATGAATAATTAATCGTGGGATTAAATTTGATATGAGTTTATTCCATATTTGGTTGGAATAAAATCGTAGTATAACTAATCCCGGGATGAGTTATCCCAGGATTGTAATATTTTTTATCCCTATGGGAGGGTGAGATAACTAATCCCTAAATAATTAATAATGAGATAACTTGTATCCTAAAGAAATTATACCGGGATAAATTATTCCCGAATTAGTTATTCTACCCTTCCATAAAAATAAAAAAATATTATAATTCTGAAATTGATTATACCGTAATTTTATCCTAACCAAATATGAGATAAACTCAACTTAAATATAACGCTGATATCCCACTCCCCAACGAGCCCTAAAGGTACAATTTTCTTACTATATGTAGCTAGCCGCCTAGCCGAGACAACAGTCATTGGGAATTGGGATGTTTCTTGGCAATGCCATATTTGGACTAGTTTAACATGCTCTCACTCTACTATTTTATAAAATTAATTATTCATATTTTAAGGTCTATATATTTTATGAAAGAAAAGTAAGGAGACCGATGTATTAAAATAATTTTGCAACTTTGGATACACATATTATATCCTTTTCTTTTACGTAATTTTATTTAAAAGAATTATAAGTACTTTTTTGGTTTCATTTTATGTGATGTTTGAGGATGAAAGAAATTTTTGTGATCTAAAATAAATTATAGATATTTATATAAATATTTTCTTAATTATAAATGAAAAATTAAAAGATTAATTATTTTTAAATATAAAAAAAATATCATTGGACCATTTAATTGAAGCTGACCAATGTTGGAGTTGGACCTCCATTTATTCTCTTTCTGCGCCGGCTTTTCCTCTTCCTCCATTTTCTTCTTCTTTCTTTTGTTTTTCCTTTTTTCATTTAGATCCATCTTCTTCAGCAAGATATATGCATTTAACTGTAAGTTTCTTTTCCTTTTTCTCTTTATATATTGCTCAAATTAACTTTCTATGATCTTCATTTCAGTTTCTCTGTTTTTTTTTTGTTTTTTTCCCAGCTTATTGAAGCATTTGTGGATGACGAAAGCGTTATCGAGCGTGACATTACCGAGCTGAAAGGCGCGTGATTTGTGATTGTTTGATGGGCAATACATGCCGTGGATCTATCGGAGGCAAAACTTTTCAGGGCTACGCTCAGCCCGAAGATAGTTCTTACTCCAATTCCAATCGCGAACCTTCATCTGCCAATTCTTATTCTTCCTCTGACAATTTCTCACCTTCTAATCACAAAAAGGAACAAAAATCATTATCTCTCGTCAGCCCTAGAAAAGCAAGCATGAATCGTACGGGTAGTAATCAAGCTTATTACGTAATGGGGCATAAAACCCCTAATATTCGTGATTTTTATACTTTGGGTCGTAAATTAGGACAAGGTCAATTTGGTACAACTTATTTATGCACTGAAAATTCTACGGGAAATGAATATGCTTGTAAATCTATTTCGAAGCGAAAATTGATTTCGAAAGAGGATGTTGAAGATGTTAGGAGAGAAATTCAAATAATGCATCATTTAGCTGGGCATAAAAATATTGTTACAATTAAAGGAGCTTATGAGGATCCTTTATATGTTCATATTGTTATGGAGCTATGTAGTGGCGGTGAATTGTTCGATCGAATTATTCAACGAGGACATTATAGTGAGAGAAAGGCAGCTGAATTGACTAGAATTGTTGTCGGGGTTGTAGAGGCGTGCCATTCGCTTGGTGTTATGCATAGAGATCTTAAACCTGAGAATTTCTTGTTGGTTAATAAGGATGACGATTTCTCTCTTAAGGCCATTGATTTTGGACTCTCTGTTTTCTTTAAACCAGGTAATAATGATGTTTCAGCTTACTTTTATCTATAACTTCAACTCCGGCTTATTTAACTGAATATTTAAAATGAACAATTCATAAAAAAGAAATCTTTCTGTGAGGTTACGTGTATTCTGTATTTACTTAAGTTATTAGTTACCACTAGTCAAATGTTGTTTATTGTCAATTTGGATTAATATTAGGTATCGATAATACCTCTTTTCTGTTCCTTTCAAAATATGCTTTTCTGTTTGTATTCGTCTTAGGTCTAATTCTTAATATTTTGGCTGAATTATTTGTAACTGCATATTTACAGGCGTGGCCTTTTATTTCTCTCTAGAATAGTTTATACATGGCTGTATTTATTACTAAAGTTCATTCTTCGAGATGCTTATATCCCTAACTTGTCACTCTTTGGGAGATCAGTAAATATTGGTTTATGAAACATTGATTTGTTAGCATACACTTATTCTATCATTTCCTTATATTGTATGTTGGTTGAATGGTACTTGTTGTTCACTCCCGCAGGCCAAATATTTAAGGATGTCGTTGGTAGTCCATATTACGTGGCTCCTGAGGTTCTTTTGAAGCATTATGGTCCTGAAGCAGATGTGTGGACAGCAGGGGTCATACTATACATACTGCTAAGTGGTGTTCCACCATTTTGGGCTGGTATGTAGTAATCCTAAAGTGTATATTGTCCATTTTCTGATTTCCATCTCCATAAAGTCACAATCTGTATTCTACAGAAACGCAGCAGGGGATATTTGACGCAGTTCTGAAAGGGCACATTGATTTTGATTCAGACCCTTGGCCGTTGATATCTGAGAGCGCAAAAGATCTTATCCGGAAGATGTTGTGCATGCAGCCGTCAGAGCGGTTAACTGCTCATGAAGTATTGTGTATGTTTACCTTATTAAGTAATAGCAACCTTTCATATTTCAGTTGATGGAATATTTTTGTTTAGCTTCATTTATTCTCAAATTGCATCTATATAGTATACCTGTGCGTACATCTATGTCATTATGCAGGTGAATGAACTAATGTTCATATTACAATATCCTCTAACTTTCTGCAGGTCATCCTTGGATTTGCGAAAATGGTGTCGCTCCTGATAGAGCACTGGATCCTGCAGTACTCTCTCGCCTTAAACAGTTCTCTGCTATGAACAAGTTAAAAAAGATGGCTTTGCGGGTATCTGTTCAAACCTGATTGTAGATCTATGCTTCAAGTATATTGTGAATCTCAGATTCTTCCATGTTCAATCAAACCCAATATAATATTTGTGACACAGTTTGTTGTGTTCCCTCTGGGTTGCTTGGATATGTAATTGAAATCTTTGTGAAGCTTCACATATTCTTTCTGCTTCCAGGTGATTGCTGAAAGCTTGTCAGAAGAAGAGATTGCTGGTCTGAGAGAGATGTTTAAGGCCATGGATACAGATAATAGTGGTGCAATTACATTTGATGAACTAAAAGCTGGGTTGAGAAAATATGGCTCTACATTAAAGGATACGGAGATACGTGAACTTATGAATGCGGTAAGGCAATCTTTATTGCAAAGTGATTGTATATGTTTTCAGCATCTTTCTCAAGTTAATGACGTGACTATCTGTCAAGGAAGATTAGAATCTTCATCTCTGTAGAATGGCACAGGGTAATGATGGTAAATTCGATCTGTTTGGAAAGAGGAGAGTTCAATTGGAATTTTGGCTCTTTCATGTGTTAGATTATTTGAGTACTTCTGTAGTTACTGAAGCTCATCCGCAAGGTACTCAGCTTTTCTTTTATGTGTGACAAGTTCCTGAAAACTGTTAGGTCTAAACTCTGACTTGGACCCACTTCATATGCCTCATTATAAACACCATCACTTTATTGTACAGTTCCTTGTTTCTGTCCACATGATATCTGTTGATCTTTCTATTGCCCCGTAACTCTAAACATGCGTTTCTATGAGGTTCATGCAAAGCTCCATTTAAACTCTCTAAGGCCATTGATGTAGTTATAATAATACTCACAATTTCAGGCTGATGTGGACAATAGTGGGACTATTGACTATGGGGAATTCATTGCGGCAACTGTTCATCTTAATAAATTGGAGCGCGAGGAACATCTCATGGCAGCATTTCAATATTTTGACAAGGATGGAAGTGGTTATATAACAGTTGATGAGGTCCAGCAAGCTTGTGTAGAGCATAACATTACAGATGTTTACTTTGAGGATATTATAAGAGAAGTCGATCAGGATAATGTAAGTCGACTGACTTTAGAGCATAAATATGTCTTTTAGGTACTAAATATGAAATTGAAGTGCTTTAATAGTTTAGCAGACCTCTCTGATTATCATTATTGCTTGGGTGCACTCAGATTCAATTCAAAAGTATCTTTGGACATTATGTCATTATTTTATTTGGTCCGATTGCCTAAGCTAGTCTTCTCAACCTCTCGTTTTTTAGTCACACTTGTAGAATTATACTTGTGCAAAGATTATAAGATTAATAAAGTGAATGAAACATGTAACACATGCTCACAGATAAAGCATAGATCCAAATGTTTAAAAGGAATAATTAGAAGAGATATCTCTAAGTATTTCTAGATCATGCAAAAACTTGGTTGTCTTTTGACAAGTCCTCCTTGACTGTAGGTTTCTTGAGTATGAGCTTGTTTGATCAAACTTTTCTAAAATTCGCTTATTTTGTGAAGTGCTTTTTGTCAGAAGTGTTTTTTGAAGTTCTTCAGAATTGTAGCTGTTAGTGTTTAGACAAATCATTTGAGAAGCGTTTCGTTAAATATTAGAAAAGTTGTTCGTGTTTGGTCGATCTTGTCAAAAAAAGTGTTTTTAAGCGTCAAATTATGAAAATAGAACATGTACAGATTTACTTACAACTACTATTACTTTAAAAAATTGTTATAGTTATTTATTATTAGAGACTGATTAAATTTTTCAATTTCATTTAATCAAAATATTTTCATCTTTTGTTTGAGATTTGGTGCGATTTGCAAGAAGAAAGAGTTGGGGAGAAAATGGCAAAAAATTCATGGTGAAGAAGGAGAACGGGACAACGTTTTAATGGTTGATTTCCTTTTTAAAATCAATGTGTAGTTTTGTGAATAAAAATTATTGATAAGGATATGTAGCTTCTTCGCTACAGCAGGAAAAATGCTTTTTTGTTGCTGCTGAAAAACTCTTTTCCATTTTTGCCCAAACACCTCAAATCTCCAACAAAAGTGCTGTTGGCTTCCCAAAACTTTGTCCAAACAGGCCTTTCTCTAAAAAGTTTGGCCACACAAGATATATATCCTGCTAAATATTTTTGCAGATTTTGTGCCTCATGCATGCAAAATCCTATAATATAATTCATTAGAGTTTATGATTCGATGTGCCCACCATGTAGGCAAAATTATCTCTCAAAAACTGTGTTTTATATGCATGGAATGGTTCTTTTTGTATTTATATTTGTCCCTCATATATAATAATCTGTTTCCGGATTCGCTTCTTTCCAGGATGGACGAATTGATTATGGGGAATTTGTTGCTATGATGCAGAAAGGAAATCCTTGTGGTGTAGGGAGACGAACAATGCGAAATAGTCTGAATTTGAGCATGAGAGATGCAGCAGGAGCTCATTAGCTTCTGAGACAGACATATCTCTAGCAGGTATGTTCCTGTCATCTTTTTGAAGTAACCCATTTTTGTGGATGCGCAAAAACTTATACCAATTAGGAACTTATACCACGTAATAATGAAAGGTGCATGATTTTACTGCTTGCCTTGTGGTTGATGAACCAATGAAAAATCTTAAAATGTTCTTTTCTACTTGAGAAACTGAATTTAAAGGCATGTACCCTTTTTATATTTAGAGTTCTTTAACTTTTGGATTCTCATCTCTCCTCTATAAAACAGGTGCATGCCTTTAAATTCAAAAGGGTACATTGAGTTCTTTAACTTTTGGATTCTTAGCTAGTTTCCAAAAAAAAGATTGAGATTTAGTGAAAAGCCCTCTTGTATTCTCCCTCAACATTGATAGAATTGATAGGCTTACAGGTTTCCATTAGAGCTAAATTTCCTGCACTCCTGTGAGCCTGATTGAATTGTTGAGATCTACGTCCATTTGGTAATTCCTCTTTACAAGAAGCGATGAACAATTGTCTCCTCCTTTTGGAAAATTTCATAATATTTACTTTCTTAGTTCTTCTAAAAGAAGTAATGGATATCAAGTCATGTACCCTTCTTTGAGTTGTACTGTGGACAACTCTTGTTCTCTTAGATATTTTCAAAGATTAGATCCTTTTATGGATAATTGAATTTTGTAGAACATGATGCATTGCAGATAAAATGAAGCTTGCTGTTGATCCTGTATTCTGCAAAAGAAGAGTCTAATTTCTGGTACTGGCTAGTTCGCAAGTTGTACAGAAAAGAGACCAGAGGCAATACACTTTCATGATACCATGGTGTCCTCTACCTAATTTCAACAGTAACATCCAGTACCTTCGAGTTTGAGTAGAAGAAGATGAGTTAAAGACTGTCGGACTGCTATTTGCCTCCACCAAGTGTTGTGAGATTTATAGTCAGTGAAAATTGTCCCACTAATGTGTTCTTTAGTCAAGGATTTTCTCTCTTGTTTCAAATCATTAAACTAGGTTGTTGATCTTATGATGTCTTATTCCTTGAATGATTTTCACCTTTTTACTTGTGTAATTTAATTGATGTTTGTTTATACGTACACACTACCCTCCCCAGACCCCACTTGTGAGAGTATACCGGGTTTATTGCTGTTGTAATTGATGCTAGTTTATAGTAATACTGGAATCTATACGTTTTTCTTTGTCAGAAGATAATTTTTTAATTTGTTCAAGGTATATCTTTTGGTATAAGAACTAACAGAAGTCATTAGCAAAGAATGACTGTGCCGCAAGACTTGTAACAATAGCAAGTTAGAATTGACTATATGAATCCTTATTGACCATGATGCTCTATCTAAGCTCATCTTAGACAAATATTATACAAAATGGTTGTCACTCATGAATAAAATCATGTTGATCATACAATTAAATATTTCCTATTATGTTGCTCTATTTAAGTTTATTTCGGACCGATACTATACAGAGAATGATTGTCACTCCTGAGTAAAACCATGTTGGAGATACGAACATACAATTACATATTTTCCCTCCACAAATAATTCTGGGGAAGGATAATTGAGCAGTCTCTTCGTACTGTTCTTGGCATGTAGCTTTTGCTATGGCTGCGTCAATGTTGCAGGTAACTGGTGCCTACTCTGTGGATGCAGCACTTTCACATGCTATAGCAATTTCCTGAAGAATAATCAAAACTAAAGTGTCAGATCGAGCAAGTCATTGGAATTTATGGTCCTTTCCAATTAAAGAAAAAGGCTTGTTAATGTTGGGATAAAAAATAATAAGGTGCCATGCGGAAGCTAATAAATATAAATCTTGAATGATGATATATAGACAATACAACAAAATCTATTAAAAAATACATAATAACTTAATATGATTGGTCAAGTGACCTACATCAATCTACTAATATAAAAAAGACTTATCGGAAGAATAAATTCTCCCCCTAAACAAAATTCTTTAAATGACTACATTGTGGAGGCTGTCTTGTTACTGTGAGAACTGAGAAGCAAAGATTCTCAACTTGCCTTTAAAAAAAAAAAGGATAAGGCATATTAAGAAGATTTATGAGATTTATTTCTTTTAGGGGTCTTTTTCCCTTCCTTCAAGAAAGAAAGTCTTAATAGATTAAAAATTCAAGACAAAATCCTAACCACTACTACACTATTCAGTGGAGCAAATCTATTCAAAATATAACCTCTCAGAGCATGGTTATCAACAGAGGCCTTCGCCAATAGAAAATAGAGATTAAAGAACAGGCTGATTCTGTAGAATCAGAGACGCCTGGTCTTTCCTCTAATAAATTTCACAAATAGGTATAAGATATGATGGCGGACTGGGAATTATATTCATATTAATATGCTATCATAAAATATCTTCAATATAGATGCAGTATAAGCTAAAAGCGAGACTGAGAATAAATAACCAAAAAATTTCCTTGTTAGGACAAAACAATAAGAAAACTACTTGCCTTTAACTTCCCATCATCAGAGAATATGCATTTGGACGTCATGGCACGTCCCTTTTCGAACAGCCACCCAACTTCGCAGCAAGTTTCGCCACCTGCAACGTCTTTCAAACAACACCAGAGTTGCCTTGGGAGCAAAACAAGATCTAATTCATCTCTAACTGTCTTCCTGGTGCTGTCATCGACGAGCTCTTGAACTTTCTGGCAGTGTAATTCAGAACTCTCCATTACTTATTCCTTCTGATGCTGACATGCTATTAATTATTTAACACAGACATTGCAAGTCAATTTTTTCCAGGATTACTAATTCCCTAGAAAGCAAGTTCAGTTGCAGTAGATTGCAAGCATGAAACTACTACTACAACTACAATAGAAACGGGGTAAGCTGAAAAGTCAAATCAATAAGATGTTGTTTGGTACACTATTCAATTTGTCGATTTTTACTTTGTAACTACTCTGCCATCAAGTCAGTATTTTGAATTCTTGTTGATTAGTGTGTGAAGGTTTATTGCCTGCGCGGACTAAAATGGTATTTTCATTGAAAGATTAACTGAGGCGGATCTAGAATTTCTATAACATGGGTGCACCATTAAACATAGAAGAAAAAAAAAGTATTAAGTTGGAATCGATCCCTGCTCCTCTAGGTAAATAACTCAACATTAAAACAAGTGTACCATTTAGCCTTTTTGGAGCATGGGTGCCAACATATAATATTAGATCAATTTTAAAAAATATGCACATAAAATATCTAGTTTGGCGGAGAGACCATGGGTTCACGTGCCCCTAATTAAGGATCCGTTAGAAGGTCTATCGTCCTTAACTGGGCAAGAGTAACAGCACTAAAGTTGATAATCATTTCTATCTAGCTAGCTTTTTAGATACCACAACCCATGCATAGAAGAAAACGTTGTTCCGAATACTAATAGTTATTTCAATTGTTTTATAATTTTGATGACTCAAAAGAACAGCTGGTGTTGCTGCATTTTTCGCCCATATTTTACCTGAATAACATTAGTTGATTAATTTATTGGATAGGATAGAACAATGGCCTTAAGATCAGCTTATTTTTAACTGCAGGCAACAGAGATGTGAAGAATAACACGACCACTCCCTATTACTCAACACGATTACTCCCTATTACTCTTTCCCAGAACTTCTGTATGAAGCATCGGTACAAGTGCAGACGTCACAAATAGTTCAACGCTGCGAGAATTATCCATGTGCTCTCCCCAGATGTATAGAAAGGTAAGCAAGAATCAATTTTGGTTTGTGAAGATAATTGGCTTTGCTTTAGCAGAAATCCAATTCTCAGTCTACTAGATTTCTTCCTAAACTAAAGCAAGGCAGCAAAAAGTGACAAATGAGATTATGGTTGTCAACTTCTGGGGATAGGAAGTCAAGCAAATGGCTAATGTATGATAAAAATCTCAAAACCCAATTCTTGATAAACTTGAAGTCAAGACACATGAATGTNGGGTGCTACAATCACTATGATTTTAGATTGTTTTTTGTTGCGCAGGACATTCAGCACTAAGGACTGTATGTCATGTAATGTTAGTTAGCTTTGGAAGTAACAAAAAGAAAGCATGCGTCAACTTGATGATAGGAGGATGATACGGTTGAGACATAATATAATTAAGTAATTAGAAAGCGTGCTCTCTAACAACTTAAGTTTTTGGACAAGATGGTCACACAATTCAATATGGTATTACATCAGGCAAGAGGTCCTGGTTTCAACTCTCACCGCCACGCAAAAAGCACTAAGAATTTCCTAGTGAGATGGTTACGCAATTCAACACGTAGGAGATCGTACAGGGTTATTTAGTGCTTACTTGGGGAGCATTGTCAAAGCTGGAGATCGCATGCTTACCCTCCCAAACACCAATGAGCTGAGCAGGGTCCAAGGCTTGGGTAGAAGCAAATGCAGAATCTTGAATAGCACAACCACCCAACTGATCCCCGTTTCGAAACGGGCCATACCAATGCTCGCAAAACACCTTAACATTTTGCAATACCAACTTAGAATCTTCAAGGCGCACGACCTGAATTGGAGGTGTCAAATAGACAGGCCAGGTCAAACTGGAGCAGGTCAAAACGGGTTAAATCAATAAACGGATGATAACCTCTAACCTGAATGATCCGCACCCTCGACTCCTTCTCCCGAGGATCAATCAAACAATGCTCCAATTCCCATGACTTATAGGGATTTGCCTTATTTTCATTGGACCAGGCGGCTACATAACATCCACTGGATTGATACGCAAAAGCAGAAACGTTGTCATCAACAATACTCCTCTCGTTGATGCTATGCCTAGTAGCAGCATCAGCTTCACAGCCGACAGTAGGAAGTAGCCGAATGGACTTGTACATGAACGAGAAGGCGTCATCGCCTTGAGCAAGAGTGGGGCATTGAGTTTGCCAATCGAATACCTTCACTTCCCACTCCCTATAAGCTTCAGGTACTACATTTTCTGGTAATTCAATCGGCTTACCTTGATTTGTAAATTCTGCTCCAAACCCATCCCATTCCCCCGACACTTTTTTTGCAAACGCAGCCCATCCTTTCAAATTGATATTTCCATCGTCCATACAATAAATAAAAAAATTTATCATAAAATAGACATAGAAATTCAGGGAGAGGCCAAACGATGGTTTATCACATGAACAGAAGGGAATACAGCCTTATTCACTGGTTGAACTTAACACGAACCACTATTTCAAGTTTATGGGTTCAGAATCCTAATCCTTTTAAGTTACTGCGTTCTAAATTAATAATTTATACATACTGGTTCAAATCATATATTTAAAACAAATATATGATTTGAACCAAAGTTAGTGGGTTACCCGTAGCTGTGGCTATCACTGCTTAATCTAGTATTTTCAATACAGAAACATAATACTCGTTTATTTTAATATATGTGACATAATTTGAATCGAGTGGAGTTTAAGAAAGAAATGAACCTTTGAAACTTGTGATTTTAAATATGCCATAATATTTATGTGTCTATAAAACTTTTGAAATTTATGATCTAAACATGTGGTAATATTTGTAGGTCTATAAAAGCTTCGTTAAGGTTACAATGGAAAATGTAAAGTTAATTTCCAAATATAGAATTCTTTTTGGAATAGCCTAATAAATGACACATAAACTGGAACGGAAGAAGTATTAATTTCTAAATTAAATTTCAATTGCCTAGTAAATTGAATGGTATAGGAATTTAAAGACTGAATCCACAAAATTTAAATTATGAAATTGCCTAGGCATATGAATGGTGTATTCCTTTTTATGCTTACCATTAAAGGAAGTTGGGGGAAGTGATTGGACTTTGGAATCTGAGTGCTCTGTTGTCTTTGCTGCTAAGGCATGTATGGAAATGATGGGTATTGCTCTCTTGGAAATTGCAATATAATTCTCAAGTTTGAATTGTTGGGGGAAGTTTGATTTATTATGTTTAGTGAAAGATGGTGAAATCAACAAAGTGGTGTGCTGCTGGGGGAGCAACCTCACATGGGCAAACAGAGCCATAGAAGAGAACCTCTCTGCTTTTTTCCGTCTGCAGCCAGTTTTGGCCTCACGTTAGCCTGTTATCCCACCATCTTAATTTTAATTTTTTAGGACAAAAATAAATTAAATTGTATTGAAGTTAAGATTTTTTATTTAAAATTTCGGATCAAAATAAGTGCCGACTAATCCCTAACAGCATCTCTCATATAGCATCTCTCAAAATGACAAATCTATGCACTTATCCCCCAACACCTCACTTTTGACTCAAATAAGAGACAGATCTAGCCTTAAGCCTATGGGATACCCTATATTTAGTACTTCCTCCGTCTCAATTTATTAATCATGGTTCAAATCACTAGGGTCAATTTTTTTTTTTTAACTTTGACCATAAATTAGGTATAGATTTTTATTTTTTTTTAAAATAAAAATTTTATAATAAAAACTATATAAAAATACTATAAGTCATAATAATTTATATTTTAAACTGATTATTATATATATATAGAGAGAGAGAGAGAGTTGACTCCCTAAATAATAACTATGACTAATGTCACACCTCCTCTTTGCGCGCCCGCCCCGAAGGGTTAAAATGCGCGAGGGGAGTTTTTCCAATTTAAGTGACAAT